TACTGACTCAGCTAATCATTAGTGCCATGTCACAACTGCTTGTCTTTATCTCTTCCTTTCTCTTAGTATCCTAGCCCTCCACCCATAGATACATGGTTCATGGTAATATTCCGATGTAACCACATACTTCGTCCACTGTTGTAAGCGGTGATTAATATTTACTATTAATGTATCTTCTGGTTATACTGCTGTTAGTTCTAAACAGCTGTATAACCAAATCACCACACAGATACTGGGATTTCTTTAGTTAACCTAGAACACAATGCTGGGCAATAGTTACTCCCTCCTAAACCTCCAAGCCCCCATAGTTTCCTAACATTTAGATTTCCCACATTATACTTGATTTTGGTGAAATCTTAGGTCTGGTTCATGCTCCATGTAGTTTCAAAATCTGTTCTCCTGCTCTGCTCTCCTAGCTGTCTTCTCCCTTTCTCCTCCCACTCATTTCCTGCCCTCTGGCTCCTCCCATTGCATAACATTGTAGCTAGTTGCTTTATTTTGGCCTGTTTACACACAGTTGAGACAGGATGCTTAGAATAAGTATCATAATGCAATGTCCAGACTGAAACCAGAGAGTGGGGGGAGAAATTAGCATGTGAATGAACAAGGGTAAAGTGTATACATTCCACAAGAACATTGTACCAACAGTCCACTAAGGAAATGTAACATTGATGCAATGGTATTTCCTTACCTTTTCCAATAATACATTTTATCACTGGTTTTAAATATGCAATCTAGAGCCATTCTTTTAGTCTCTTGTCAAGCCTCTAGAGATGTTCCAGTATTTTATTTAATTATATGTTTGTGGGTTGGATGGGGGTTGGGAGGATAAGCCTGTGAGTGCAGGAGGCCAGAGGCTTCGGATCCCCTGGACCAGAGCTACAGGCAGTTATGGACCGAACTCGGATTTGGTCTAATTTTAATCACTGAGTGCTCTCTACAGCTTCAAGATTTTTTTTTAACCTTTTCTTGCTCCCTCTCCATCCACTCCTTGTCTATAAACCCTAAGGGAGTAGTAAGACCTTCTGATCCCCTCTCCTGTGTAGGCCAGAATATTGATGAAACCAGTCTTGTGCAGGTCTTATACAGCTAGTCACAGTTGCTGTGAGTTCAAGAGGGTAAAGGTCACATGCTGCCTGGAAGACAGAGCTCTGAAATTCTCCGTTTCTTCCTCCGGCTCTAGATTCTTCCCACCCCTCTCCCATGAAGTTTCTTGAGCTTGGAGCAGGTTATATAAGTGTCCCATTGATGACTGAGTTCTCAGCAGTTGCTGAGTGCTTTGACGTATTGTGAGTCCGGCTGTTCCTCGCTGCAAGAAGCTTCTCCGACCAAAGACGACAACAGGCCAGTCATCAGACAGAAATCTAAGTATTTAGGAAACAATTTGACAAGCACATTGTATTCACTGGGCAGCAGTCAGCCTTTAGTTTTCTTTAAAGACAGCCACGTATTCAAAGACACCCAGGTGGTTCAGAGGGACGCACAATTTGGACTTGACTGTGCCCTGTTCTTGACAGAACAGATGAAATGGTGTACCTTGGAGAAAATATCCTGGTGTTCCTCACACCCTGAGACACAGACTTCCATTGTTTGGTTGTTGGGCTTTTGTTTTTGTTTTTTTGTTTTTGCTTTTTCTGCTGTTAATGATGCTGTTTGTTCACTTTGTTGAGATGGGATTTTCCATTCCAATTCTTGAGAAATCCCTTTTGCAATCAATAACTAACCTTAGAATGATACTTTAAGACTATGAATTTCTTGTTCCCCAACAATCTCTCACTAAATTGTTGAGGTTTGTTTATTTTTTCTTAAATTAGTTATCAAGCATGGCGGTTGCAAAGTTATACCGTAGGCACTGCGTAGGTGAGGTATTTTAGCTCTCCTGGGGCAGAGGTCTTGTGTGTGGTGGATTTGAACCTTGTTTCATCTGAATGCAAGACCCCCTTCTAACTTAGCAGCATGCTGGCCATATTGGAGAATTATCTCTATTTGGTCCTATGACTACAGAAGTTTCTGTTGTATTTGCCACTGGGAATTGGAGCCCGTGAAGCCGAGTTACCAGAGAGGTGATGAAATTGTGAGAGGGAGCGGAGGGGACAGTTGGAGCGAGCCCCACCCTCCCCAGTTCCACAGACACATGCTAGGCAAGTACTCTATTGCAAAGACACATTCCACCTGCTTTGTAGAAAGCAGACTTTCTGTGGGAGCGCTCTGCTTCTCAAGGAGATGCTGCCTGGCTTAGGTGTCCTCACGCTGCTTCAGGAATGTCCCTCCTCTTCACTCAGTCCCTGGTGTGCCTTGCTGGTAGACATGCTAGTGCTAATTCTCTGCAGTTGCAGATTCACCTACGGAGTTTTCGGAGTCGCAGCCCGGGAGGGGAAGACAAGCCCTTCTGCAGACGAGCAGTACGTGACAGTGAGCGTGGAGTCTCAGCGTCACAGTGACCTGGCTCATATGTGTGTGCAGTGAGTGCCGGCACAGTAAACTCCATCACCAAACTCACTGGCCCCTGGTGGCATCCAAATGGCCCCTAGAGAGAGTTCCAGAACTTTGTGGTTAGTGCATTTTGAAGCTTTAATGGCCAATACCTGTTCTACCACTGACCGATTGTGTGACTTTTGACATTTGACTGGAGGAGGAAGACAGCAAACACAGTAAGAAATCCCAGAAATCTGGAACAGAAACCTGGTGGGGAGAACGCCAAAGGCAGGATGTGGCATGTCCTGGGATCTCTGAGCCACATTTTCCACTTAAAGAATGAAGAGTGGTGTTTCCGCTTGAAAAGAATTTTAAGACTTGAAGGAGGCCATGGACCTAAATGACCTTCCCCACCCCCACCTACATACACACACTATAAAAATATATTTCTTTGCAAGTAATTGAACATAGCCAGGCATAGTAGCACACACCTGTAATCCCAACACTCAGGAGGCAGATCTCTGTGAGTTCAAAGCCAGCCTGGTCTACATAGTGAATTTCAGGGCAGCTGGAGTTGTATGATGAGAGCCTGTCTCAAAATAAGAAAAGAAAAAAAAAAAAAAAAAAGAAAGAAAGAAAGAAAATGAGAAAGAAAGAAACTGGGCCTTGTTTGAGCAGCTTAGGAGCAAAGGGCAAAGTTATTGGCTTAGGTGGAGGTGCCCAGGGAGGAACTTGCTTCAGGATCTCTGGACTTGGCCTCAGTTTCCCCTGGTGTTCCAAACAAGCTGGCTAGCCAGTGGGCTTCTGTATGCCCGTCTCTGCCTCCCAGCAGGGACTCCAGGCATGTACAGCCGGACGCGTGGGTGCTGAGAAGGTGAACTCACAGCCCCATGCTTGTAGAGCAAGCACTCTAATCCATAGAGCCATCTCTCCAGCACCCCTGGGAACGCGTGAAGCTGCTGTTTGGGGCTTTAATGTGGTCAAAGACTGATGAAGAAGGTTCAATGCCAGCACCACTGTGTCTGTCCCTTGTCCCTCTTCAGCCTCGTCCTCCCAATCCTCCCTTAGTCCCCTGTGGTGCATCCACACTGACCTTGCAGTTCCCAGAGCATTTGGAGCGCTTCACAGCCGCAGGGCCCTTGCTTGCACCTTTGCTTCCCTCTGTGCGGTATGTTCTTCACACGCTCTCCTTTTGCCTGACTCCCGCCCATCCTTCCCAAAAAGTGCCTTTCCCTCAGAGTGACCTCCTTAGAGCCTCCTTCCTGTTGCAGTTCCCACTCTGGTTAATCTTTGTCCTGGAGCCTCTGCTATTCCTTTCTCAGCACTTTCTCCAACTGTTTCATTCTGCTGTGTCGTTTTATTGTTGTTGTTTTTGAGACGGGGTTTCTCCAAGTAGCCTTAGCTCTTCTGGACTTGCTTTGTAGACCAGGCTGGTCACAGAGATCTGCCTACCTCTGCCTCCCCGAGTGCTGGAATTACAGCAGACCTAGCTCTGCTGTGTCTTCATACAGGTGTGAGGGCTCCATGAGGATGGACCCGGCCATCTTGTTCATCAGCGTATCCCTACCACATCAGATGCTGGGTTTTTAGTAATGAGCAAATGATTGGATTGGGTGTAAAGTTCACCCACTCAAGGACAGTCTGTTTCCACCAGGGAATCCAGACAATGGAAACACTTCCTTCTAAAGAAAAGAAGGCAAACATAGGGTATGTATTATAAGTCAAAGAGGTTTCCTTAAGTGACACATTTATGTGGTCCCATTTACCCTGCTAGATAATGGGGCTCCTTCTGGAGAGGGACAAAAAAACTGAAGAGAAATTATTATCTATTTGGACCCATTTATTCAGCTGGAAAAACTTTTTTTAAGGATTTATTTATTTATTTATTATGTACAGTATTCTGCCTGCATATACACCTGCACCCCAGAAGAGGGCACCAGATCTCATTATAGATGGCTGTGAGCTACCGTGTGGTTGAGGGGTCTCAAACTCAGGACCTCTGGAAGAGCAGCCAGTGCTCTTAACCTCTGAGCCATCTCTCCAGCCCACTGTACATGTGTAATGGTTATCTCATTGTCAGCTTAATGCATCCGAACCACGTGGGAAACGGGCCTATGAGCATACCTGTGGAGCATCTTGATTAAGTCAGCAGTGCTGGGAAGACCTGCCTCTGTGGTAGCACCATTCCCTGGGCTAGGCTCTTGGCCTGTGTGAACAGACCAGATGAGCTGCATAAGTATTCCCCACTCTCGGCTTCCTGATGGTGGATGTGATGTGGCCACCCGCCTCAAGCTCCTGCTGCCTTGACCTCCTGACCCTGGTGGACTGCACTCTTGAGCTGTGAGCTAAAATAAGTCCTTTCTCTCTGCAGTTGCTTTTGTTGGGGCATTCGTTTACAGCAAGAAGAAACTAAGACAACATTCAGGAAATATTTATTTTCTTCCCGAAATTCTCCATCCAGAACAGTAATGGGTGAGACATGCTGCACAAGATACCAGATTTGCAGAGGAGATTCAGTTCTTAACACTTGATATCTTTGGCACTGAATTTTTTTTTATGACATTTTACTTTTTAATCCACAGGTCCTGGTTGCTCTCCAGGTAGACACACATGGCTCTCCTACGAAAAAGTAAGAATTGAACTTATGAAAATAACTATGAAGAAAGAGGTTTTGGGGGAGATTTTGATGAGTTCGCTCTCTTTTTCTGTGCACCTGTGTGTGTGTGTATGTGTGTGTGTGTGTGTGTGTGATTTTCATAGATCATTTTCCCACAATCAGTTTTTTGTTTGTTTGGTTGGTTGGCTGGCTGGTTGGTTGTTTTTTTGAGTCAGGGTTTCTCTGTTTAGCCCTGGCTCTCCTTGAACTGGATCTGTAGACCAGGCTAGCCGTGAACTAATAGGGATCCGACCTCCTCTATCTCCCAAGTGCTGGGACTAAAGGTGTGTGTAACACCTCCAGCTTCCACAAGCAGATTTTTAGTATCATTTGAGGATGATTCCTGTGGAATGTCGCTGAGATTTTGGTTAGAAATGGACTTACACTAGTCATATATTATCAAGAATCAAAAAAAAAATTATAAAACGTGGTTACAATCATCTCCTCACTCTAAGTATTCTCAGTCATGCCTAAGCATTTGTAAGGTTCTATTCTTGTTCTTAAAGGTTCACATCAAATCTTCAGACCTTTCAAACACCTGTATTCTCTCGTGATTTTAGACTAGAACATTATTCATTAGAAGAAAAACACAGTATGTAAATAGTAAATTCCGTTATTCTTAGAGTTGCCTAATTTAAATGAAAATGAAAGACATCTATTTAAATTTGAACTTCATTATAAATGAGGAATTATTTTTAAAATTTATTTATTATGTATAGTGTTTTTGCTTGCATGTACTCCTGCCACCAGCAGGGGGCTCCAGATCCCATTATAGATGGTTGTGAGCCCCCATGTGGTTGCTGGGAATTGAACTTAGAACCTTGGACAGGCAGCCGGTGGTGCTCTTAACCTCTGAGCCATCTCTTCAGCCCCGAGGAACTATTTTTAGTGTATGTTCCAAACATTGCATGGGAGATACTTAACTTAAAAATTCTTTTTTTCTGGCAACTTTTTGTCAGTGGGAACAGCCACGGTAGGAAGGGTCAGGCGTTGGGCCGCCTCGGAGAGCGCGTAGCAGCTCAGCAGTAATCGGAGCTCCTGAGACCTACGGAGCCGTTCCCTCTTTCTGCTCTGAAGCTCCCCAGGCCTGGATCTTCCCCAAAGGGCGGCGGGAGAGCTGGAAACTGGACCTCAGCCAGCCTGAACCCTGGAGACGCAGGGTGTAGTTTGGGGAGGAATCTAAGACACTCTTTCCTTTACAAATATGAACCCAAAAGCCTGGCGGTCAAAAAATAAGCTAGCATAAAGCCAATAATTATCTTTAGAAAAATCGTTTAAATTTTTATTATTTTTATTTGTATCAGAGAAGCCCGCAGAGGCCCATGGAGGTTAAATAATGGTCCAAGTTCCCAAAGCTAGGAGGGGGTGAAAATAAGGTTTGAATCTGGCTGTATATCCCTCCTCCTTCTCTCCTAGGCTCCCTGGGATTCCCCTGCCTCTGCCTGGTGAGTGTGGGGCCAAAGGTGTGTGCCACACACCTGCCTCTCCCAGCGTGTTCCCACTTCACACTGTGATTAATCTGTGGCAAAGTCACATCGCCCCAGTTTTTCGCCATTTGTGGTCATTTTCTCTTCCACATTCCTCTCCATGCTTAATATTTGTATGCAAATTTTATAATGTAAAGTTTCCATTCATCAGCTGGGTGCAGGCCTGTAATCCCAGCACTCAGGGGGGCAGAGGCAGGCTGGTTTCTCTGAGTTCAAGGTTAGCCTGCTCCAGAAAGTGAGTCCAGGACAGCCAAGGCTACACAGAGAGACCCTGTCTCAAAAAGGGGGGAGGGTTATGATTATCATCTAAAACAAGAGTTTCCGCTCTTTCTGGAAATGGAAAAAAATATCTATCTCCTGCCACAAAAAGAAGGTGATGTAAAATATACTCAACTGGAAGAACGGTCAGAATAAGTGGCTTCTGTTGCTTGCCCACAACACTGAAATCAGAGATTGGCTTTTTCACACACGGTTTGATATTGCTGAACTCTGTGAGCACAAATGTCTCCGGTCATTTTACAGACAACCAGCAAGGTATGTTCCATACTCAAAAAATGCTGCCGTGCACCATCATGGGATCCTTGGGAAACCCAAGAGCAAGCATCTCTGGTGTGGAATGGATGGAGACTGAGATCTCCAAGCAGTGCTCCTCATCTGGAGCCCAGGGCTCTCTGTGCACCCTCCACCGGCATCTGAATCAACTGAAATGCAACTAGCTTCTGCAACTTTACGCCTGTTCAGAATTAGCCATAGCTCATCAAAAGCACTCTAGAAATGATGTTGTTTATAAGATGGACGAGATATTCATGCAAGGCAGCCTCCTGGCTGAGTTTGAGGCCTCTGCTATCAGACAGCCTGGGCTTAGCACCCTGCGCTCTGAGGAGTCTGACCAAGGTGCACTAGGGTGCTCTGTGCTCAGCGAGAGGCCGCACGCTGCCCTGCCCTCTCTGACTGCCCTCTCTATGACACACTGATTTCAGTGCTCTGAGGTTGACTTATCAAACACTGATGTGTGCCCCTCTTCATTTCAGTTAATCAAGTGCTGCTCTTTCTTCTGGTCCTGACCCTTTGTGGGATTCTGTACAAGAAAGTTCGCAAGGGGGCCATACTCAAGAATGAGGCAGGTGAGCAAGCCTGGAGGTGACAGGACAAGACGCCTAAGAAGGTGGTTTCAATGTTTTCCATCGGTTCCTTTCCGCCATTGGGTTCAGGGGCAAATGACATAACCCTTAAGGGCCAGCTGGTAGAATACCTTCCTTAGGGAATGACTGATGCTGTTCAAAACATACCACATGGAAAAGTCACGTGGAGGGCCTGTTAAAACACCTGGGCTAAACACACTTGTGATCTTAGCACCTGGAGGTTGAGGAGGGAGGATTGTGCGTTTGAGGTTAGCCTGGGCTACATAGTGAGTTCAGGGCCAATCTGAGTTACAAAGTTGCAAACAACAAAAACCACATCACTAGATTCCACCTAAGAGCGTTAGCATCACAGATAGGATGGGCCTGGGGATCTGCATTTCTTGTAGCTCCAAGTTGGTGCTAGGGACTCTTGGTTCTCAGACCACCTCCCCAGGGACTGCTCTGCACCTTGTCCCTTTAGAGCCTCTCCACAGTTTGTCTTTGAGAATTGCCTCTTCCCATCTCTTCTTGCTGATCCATTCCCATTAGTACTTAACTGGCTCCCAACTTAGAAATGGCCCCCAGAGGGCTGGAGAGAGAACTGCCATCTTTGCAGAAGATGATGGCTCCTAGCACCTACGGCAAGCAGCTCACCACCACCTGTGGCTCCAGCTCCAGCGGAGCTGAGGCCTCTCAGCCTCCACCAGCTCCTACACTCATGGACACAGACTCCCACAGACACAGACACACACACGACCTTTAATTGGCCCTCTGGCCTCACCAGGCTGCCTCAAAAACCCTATTTCCCTCCTCAGAGGTGAATGTACTGAGGTGCCCTCACAAACCCAAAATACACCCACAATCAACCCTACAAAAATTAAGAACTGTTAGTTGTATCATTTACACTTTAAATATTTTCATATTACTCCAAGAGATCTATGTTCTACTTCTGAAAACTATAGGAAAATCTTATGTATAGATATTCAGCCAAGGCAAAAGCAGTTACTATTTTAGCACGTTAGATATTTTTATTCCACATGTGTTAAATTTTAATCTAATTTTTTTGGAAGAATGCATTACACATCGCAGGCTGGCCTCAGACTTGCTATGTCACTGAGCATGGCCTTAAATTCCTGATCCTTCTGCCTTCATCTCCCAAGCAGTAGGATTATAAGTTTGTGCCCCAAAGCCGGTTCATATTTCTGTTTTCAAAGACAAATACCTAGGACCTGGAGACTTTACTGAGCAAAACCACCTCTGTTCCTACAAAGGGGGTGTTTTTTTAATCTGGTTACCTAGGTTACGTATATGCCATTTAAAATGTATTTAAAATATGTATGATGTGATCACGACTGTCTGGAGTCAGGTGCGGCGGCACACACCTGTAATCCCAGCACTCGGGAGGCAGAGACAGGCAGATCTCTGTGAGTTTGAGGCCAGCCTGAACTAAAAAGGGAGTCCAGGACAGCCAGGACTATTACACAGAGAAACTCTGTCTCAACAAAGAAACAAAAAAACAAACAAAAAGGTGGTGGTGGTAGAGAGTCTGGAAAGAAAGTGACCTTTGCACAGGAACATCTATATAGCTGCTCCCAGGGCTCAGACTGTAGCCTAGACCAGAGACAATCCACAAGTACATCAGATAGCGAGTGGAAAAAAAAATGTATACCCACACCATGGAGTTTTTATTGTTCAGCAGTGAAAAATGAAGGTAAAACATGGATGACCTCAAAAGCATATGTTAACTCAGAGGAGGTAGACCGAGACCACAGAGTGCATGATTATCATCAGGGGGGAAGCAAGGCGGCACTCAGGCAGACATGGTGCTGGAAAAGTAGCTGAGAGTTCTACCTCCATATCTGTAGGCAGCAGGAAGAGAGACACTGGGCCTGGCTTGGGCTTTCTGGTCTCGAAAGCCCCAGTGACACACTTCCTCCAAGGCCACACCCACTCCAATGAAGCCACGCCTCCTAATTCTTCCCAAGTAGTGTCACTCTCTAATGACCAAGCACTCAAATGCAAGAGCCTATATATGTTATTCCTACCCAGAACACCATCGATGGGTATGAAGAACTCCGTAGCATTGTTCCTCCTACGTCACTGTGTTTGTGAACCAACTGATTCATTTAGCTCATCCCAGTGAGTAATGCGTGTCCTGATGGATTAATCGGCCATGTGTAATAACAAAGCGTTTGGATGTTATGAATGGATCAATCCCACCCTATTATACTACCCAGTGTTCAAATAAAAAAAGGAATTGTGACATTGAAGGACCATTAAAAAAGAACAGAATTTTGACAAGGAGAGTCCCATGTATGCTGAGTAGAAAAACAAGTTACTAAAAAGTATGATTGCATTTTGGTTTTAAAATCAATACCTGGGAGCTAGAGAGATGGCTCAGTGGGAAAGAGTGCTTGCTTACTGTTCTATTGCTGTAAAGAGACACCACAACCAAAGCAGCTTATAAAAAGAAGCATTTAATTGAGGGATTGTCTACAGTTTCCATGATCATGGCGGGATCGTGAGGCAGGCAGCTTGGCACTGGAGCAGTAGCTGAGAGCTTACATTTTATTAACCCAGTGGAGGCAGAGAGAGACTGGACCTGGCATGGGCTGTTGAAACCTCAAAGCCCACCACAGGGGACACACCTCCTCCAAGGCCTCACCACCTAATCCTTCCTAAGCAGTCCACCAATTGGAAACCAAACATTCAGATATACAGCCAGCCAGGTGGTAGTGGTGGTGTGTGCCTTGAATTCTAGCACTTGAGAGGCAGAGGCAGGCAGATCTGTGTAAGTTCAGGGCCAGCCTGTTCTACAGAGCAAGTTCCAGGCTACACAGAGAAACCCTGTCTCAAAAAAAAAGGCACAAATATATGAGCCTATGGGGACCATTTCATTGAAACCACCAGACTCCGTGAGCATGAGAACCGGAGCTTGAATCCCCAGCAGCACAGAAAAGCCAGTGACCCAGGTGCTGAAGGGGCAGAGACAGGCAGTTCTTGAGAGCGCTCTGCACAGCCAGCTTAACCAAAATGGAGAGCCTCCAGTTCAGCGAGAGTCTGTGCCTCAAAGCAGTAGCTTGAAGAGCTGTAGAGGAAGACCTGGCCTGTGCATACCAGATTACATACATCCCTGTGTTCACACACGTGTCCAACATCTGCATGTCCTTTAGAACTCACACAAGGGAAGCCCAGCACAGCCACACTAAGACAGAGACCCACCTTTGGAGTGGGTGCGCCCAAGTTTGCAAAAATAGGTAATAGATTCCTTTCTATTTTGGCCGGAAGTTTCCATGAAGTCTGTATTGATTTTTATTATTTAAACATCATTCATTTTAGCCAGATATAAAGTTGTGCACTTTTTAAAAATATTTATTTATTCATTATGAGTGTTCTGTCTTTACACACATCAGAAGAGGGTGTCAGATTACATTGTAGGTGGTTGTGAGCTGCCGTGTAGGTGCTGGGAATTGAACTCAGGACCTCTGGAAAAAGCAGCCAGTGCTCTTAACCATTGAGCCATCTCTCCAGCACCTTCCTCTTTTTTTCCCCTCTTCCCCCTTTCCCCTTCTCAGGAAAGTTGAGCCTCTCTCCCTCCCTCCGCCCCACAAGGCGTGTACTTTTAATCCTAGCCCTCAAGAGTCAGAGACAGACAGATGTCCATCCCAGTCACTACCCCTGCTTTTCCACTCCTCCATCTTCCTGTCCCTACAGATATCCAGGAGGGCTCTGTTCTCCAGGGCCACTCCAAGACTCAGCTCAGTTCTTTTCAGCAAACTTTTCACTACACACTTCCAAGGAGCCAGGCTCAGCAGGGTGAATCAGCAACCTCACAGTCCGATGGAGAATCAGCCACAAAAATGACTCTTCAGTTGCAGAAATAGGGATAGATGACGAGAGCATCTGTTCCTTAGGACAGAGACAAGCACGCCATCTTTGCCTTTGCAGTGCTCCCCCGCAACAGGAAAGGAAAACGAACAGTGCAGCCGACAAATGCAGCCACAGCAGGTGCCCAAGACTCTGTGTGCTGGGGAGCTGTTGCAGGCCTCCTACATGGCAGATGTCAGTACGCAGCTGGGGTGGACATATGAGCGTTAACCACGAAGAATAGAGTGATCCCAGACGCCAGGAACAGCATGTGTGAAGAGCGCATGCGCCTGGTGGGGGGAAATCACAGGATGTTTGGTATGGCTCCAGACCACCCGGCGGTGAACCGGCACAGCCGAGCTTGCCAATGTGTCAATCAGATCGCCTCACATGGCTGCGGGTGGCAGCTGCCCCCTAAACGAACACTCCGTAAAACAAGCCACTTGGGTTTTCTTTTTTAAACCGGAGGCAGTGATCTAATCACTTGGGAAATGAGGGCAAGAGGACCAGGAATTCAAGGCTGACCTGGGCTCTATGAAATGCTGTCCCCCCACACATTATTTGTTTATAAAAAAATAATTCGTGGTTACTTAGTGAATCTGAAAAAATTAAGAAACAAAATTAAAACCACTTATAATTTTATAAATAGACACAGATAATTTGTGGTTATATATGTGTTACATTGGGATCAAATATCGGAAATGGTTTATTATTTATTTATTTATTCTTCATGGGCCTCACTATGCAGCCCTGGCTGTCCCAAACTGCCTCAGATTCACAAAGGTCCACTTAGGTCTGCCTCCACACATGCCTCCACACCCAGCAAAGAATTTAATATTGTTTTTCCCCCTTCAAGCTACATCGTGAGAGTCTAGTAGCAGAAGTGGACAGAAAAAGATATATAAAGAAACAGAGAGGCCATTTAATGTTTACTAAGTTGTACAAAATCCTGTTTCATTTCTAACTACACTGAGGAATGGTCAGTTATTCATCATGAGTACTAGCCATGCCCTTTTGTCAGTCCTTTCTCGTGCTGCGAACATTTGAGAAGCTTGACTAAGGAATGGAGAGCAAGAGAAAAAACATAGCAGCACAGGCTGGACAAGGTCTGACTGGGGAGTTAGGCTGGCCGGGAGGCTCTGCAGCTCTTTGTGTATTTCAGCTGTATGTGAGCAAGGCTGGAGACCGGCCTCTGAAAAGAGTCCCAAAACAACAGGGACTTAGACCTTCACCCTGCCTTCACATGAAGATCTGATGTGTGCACTCCACAGCCCTCAGGGCAAAATCCTGCTCCGTTACTGTTCTGGGGTCTTAGGTATCAATCGAGGAAGGCTCTCTGCCTCTTAGCGTCATGCCAGCGTTCCAGGGGAGGGAGGAGGCTGGCAAAGGGAGGCATTTAGCATTACTCTGGGCTGCACACATTACTTAAAACAACATCCCATTTGTTCAACTTGATCACATTTTTGCAGCCAGCGAATCTGGAAAGGAGTGGTTTCAGTGGCTGGCCGTGTGGCCGCTGAAGTTTCCACACACGGGATAGAGACGGGAGGTGGGAGAACAGTCTGCCCCAGCGCTGCGGAGCTAGACTGCTGTCCCGTGAAGTGCCTTGCGCTCTGAGTCACTGTTTTGATGTTCCCAGAAGACGATGCAGAGTCCCCCGAGGACACGGAAGAGGAGATTCCAGTGGTGATCTGCGCAGCCGCGGGGAGGATGGGCGCAGCCATGGCTGCCATCAACAGCATCTACAGCAACACCGATGCCAACATTGTGTTCTATGTAGTCGGACTACGGAACACTCTGTCTCGAATACGGTAGTTTGGATACTGTGGTTTTGGAATGCTCTGTTTTCTTTTAATCTTTTTTCTTCCTTTCCTTTTCTCTTCTTCCTCCTCCTCCCTTCTACCTCTTCTTTTCCCAGCAAAGAAGGGGAAACATTTGTTCTTTTTATTTCTTTTCTTTTTAAAATTAATTAATTATTTTTATTTATGTGTGTTGATGGTTGGCCTGCTTTTATGTCTGTGTGAGAGTGTTGGATTCCCCTGGAACTGGAGTTACATTCAGTTGTGAGATGCTGTGTGGGTGCTGAGACTTGAACCCAGGTCATCAGTCAGCTGTCTACACCATCAGCTGAACACGATTACTAACCCAGCTAAACCTTGGCCTCTAATTAGCATTCCATTCCATTCTCTCACACCTTAGTTTTGGATTGGACCGTGTCCTTCAGAATTTGTCCCGTATTTCTTCTATCCAGATCCCACCAGAATTTCCACTGAATTCTTCAATTTCTGAACCGTTAACAGACTACATCACATGCACACGTTGTTTTAGGGCCTAATCAGTGTAGGGCCTGGGGGAGGAGATAGATTTTGCTAACAAACCAGAGATTACAGGATTCCTCTCTGAGAACTTGATTATGGAATACCCACCAAAATGACCCAACTAAATCCTCTCACAGTAAAGACCAAGGATCACTAAGCCATGCTCTATTATCTAGAATTCTAGCTCTTTAAAAACACTTATTTAATCAGCATGTGCACGCATGTGCACGAGGCATCAGCAGCAGCATGTGCTCGAACCTCAGGTCAGCCCCGGGCACTCAGCTCTGTCTTCCCTCTGTAAGGATATAATGTTAGAATCTAGCCCAGCAGCCGTGCTCTTTAATGCTGAGCCATTTCCCTCTTTTTGTTGTTGCTGTTGTTGCTGTTTGTTTTTTGAGACAGGGTTTCTCTGTGTAACAAGCCCTGGCTGTGCTGGACTCACTTTGTAAACCAGGCTGGCCTTGAACTCACAGACATCTGCCTGCCTCTGCCTCCTGAGATTATTATCATAATTTTGCCTATAATGTTAAGAAGTAAGAAGAAATCAACAGAAAATCAAAATTTAAATTGTTTTAGAAATGCAGGAAAAGTGTATAAACTTGGTCTGGGCAATACCTTCCTAAGCTCAGGAATTAGAAAAAAAGCTGACAGTCTTGCCTGCGTAACACAAGAACGCCTGCATAGTGAAGAGCAGCGGATGGTGTTAGTTATAAAATACATTAGTAAAAAGTAGGACTTATAGCCTTTAATTCCGGCGCTTGGGGAGCAGAGACAACCCAGTCTCTGTGAGTTTGAGGCCAGCCTGGGCTACAAAGAGAGTTCCAGGACAGCCAGGGCTATACACAGAAATGCCCCATCTCAAAAACAAAACAACAACAGCAAAAAAATGGCTTATAATGAAGAATTGTTGCAATTCTTAGATTCTCAAATTTTCTTAAAATTTAAGCCTATTGGAAAAATGAGAATACAATATGAACAGACACCAAGGTCCATCCTGACTCTAAGAAGACCACCACCAAGAGCCAGCACCTGTACTAACACTCGAGCAGCTGGGGAAGGAAGGAGGATGGCGAGTTAGAGACTGGGCTAAGCTGCATGGTGAGACCTTATCCCAAATACACAAACCAGCCAACTAACCAACCAACCAATGACCAGCCAACTAACCAACCAGGTCACACAACCCACAGCGATACAAGCAACACAGTCACAGAGTGGGCTGTCTCCCGTTCTTGGCTGTTGGCCCCTCCTCCCCAGAGTCTAAACATTTTGAAACCTGTTCTCATTGGAGCAGAAGACAAAAGTCGAAGGTATGAACTCATGGTACATCTCAGTAAATCCGCACAAGCAAATATGCTTCAGTGATAGCGAGGATGTTCCCGCCAACAGTGGCAAGAGCTCTACCGTTGTGCAATCTAACCCCAGCCCTTTGCTGCCAATTTGCAATCAACAGCCAATGTCGCCATATGTGGCTTGGGTCGTTGCCAACTTTGTCTTGAGATTATTTCTACCGGGAGGCCCAGAATGAATCAGATGAAGGGTAGACATCCTGTGAGACTTGAGTGGTGGTTGGGGGAGGAAAGAAGACAGGGTGAAGACGGGCAGAGGCACTTGAGAGACAGACCATCTTCGGAGTCAAAGGAGGAGGAAACACTGTCAGAGGCTCGACTGGCGCATGCCACGCTGGCAGCAGCGTGCGGCAGCCAGTCTAGCAAGCATAGATGCTGCGTCTTGTTGCTCTAGTTCCCTGGGAGGATTTTTGGATGTGGAGCCACACTTGGTTATTACTATTTTGTTCGTTCCCTCCACAGAATGAGTTCTGAGAGTCGGGGTGGGGAAAGGGGATGTTGTAATTTAGACCAGGTAGGGAAGCCATTGGAAGGACTTACAGCATGAAAACTATGCTTACATACACTTAATTCAACTTTCTACGGCCAGAACAGACTAGGCCTGGGGTATGTGAATGGAGGGAAGATGTGAAATGTGCACTACAGGTTCTGTTGTTGTTATCTCTTTAGCAAATGGATTGAACATTCTAAACTGAGAGAAATAAATTTCAGAATTGTGGAGTTCAACCCTATAGTCCTCAAGGGGAAGATCAGGCCAGACTCCTCGAGGCCCGAGCTGCTCCAGCCTGTGAGTATGAGTCATGCACACGGCGGGGAGTCTGAGTCCACATTCACTGAGGAGCCCCAGCCTCTGGGGCACACATACGCCATTTCAGTCACGTGGGCCAGGCCTCCACAAAGCTCTGGTCATTTACAACTCAGCAGCCACCTGCTCCAGGAAGGAGTTAAGATGGTTTGTATGAGCATAATGAAGCTATTGGAAAGAAATGAAGCATTAGAATGTAGGCTACATTTGCACGTGTGAAGATAGCTGTGGGTGGGGGCTGGAGGTGAGCCAGGCAGGGAGGCCAGCAAAAGACTTAGGCTCTTGTATCTTCTGTGCTTAATTGTTAGTTAGCTCTGATTCTTCTGGAGGCCAAGGAAAGCCAGCAGTGTGATAGCCATGTGCCTCAGTGTCAGCCACAGCACATTTTAGGAGACACCAGTTCTTTTCTTAGCTCTAGGGGTCACTTTCCTTGCAAGAATGCCAACACAGAGTCCCTCTTCTTCATGAATAACAGTCGTGTGTGTGTGTGTGTGTGTGTGTGTGTGTGTGTGTGTGTGTGTGATATGCCTATGTGTCAGTGAGTCCCAGCAAGCCTTTTTCCAACCTGTCTCCTCCAGCAGTGGAGTTTCAGACAAGCGTACTGCTATAGTCATCTTTTCATGTGGTCCTGGGGATCCAAGCTCAGGTCCTTATATTTATCCGTTGAACCATCTTCCCAGTCCAAGAGCAGCTTCTCATGGCAACTTTGTAGAAACTGGCCACCTCTTGTATGCAGTTTATGTAAATCCATCCTTTCAAATTAACTTCTAAAGCCTCAGTCTGTGATGTAACCCTTCCCTAACTCCAGCTGCTTACTGTCAGTCGGTTACGGTAACTGAACAACACTGATGGAAATCCTATGAACTCGTGCTTCTCTGACTGTCTTCTGGATCAAGAAGCTAAAAGGCTGGGTTTGTTGCTGGTGTGTGTGTGTGTGTGTGCATCTTAAGGCTAATTAGTTATCTAATTGATGGAAGATAAAGCAGAAGTCTGTACCCTAAAAAATTGCCCCGGGAGCTTTGGGGACTCCCACTGTAGCTGTCCCTGAAAGAAAAGTGGGCAGTGCTTCTGAGTGGCGCCCGGATGTAGGAAAGCTTCTCTTGGTGGTGGGTCTCCTCCTAATCCCAGAGGATGAGGTGCTAAGAAGCCAGGTGAGGCATCACTTTAGCCTCTTCTATTCCATTCCACACATGGCACTAAACAGGCATGGCCAAAGCTGACTTGCAACGCCACCCAACCTTTCCCACCACTCTTTCTCTTGTCTTGACAGCTGAACTTCGTTCGGTTTTATCTCCCTCTGCTTGTCCATCAACACGAGAAAGTCATCTATTTGGACGATGATGTCATTGTACAAGGTACACTCACTGACTGCCAAGAGCCCTTGGAAGGGCACAGTTGCTACGTAGAATGACTTACTCCTTCTCTTTATTTTCCATGTAGCTGGTTGCCTAGTGACTTCACATACTCTGTACAGTGAATACAGCATTGTAAAGCTGGGTGTTTTTTGAGGCCGGGCAGTGGTGGCGCCCCCTTGAGCCCCAGCACTTGGGAGACAGAGGCAGATGGATCTCTCTGAGTTCCAGGACAGCCAGAGCTACACAGAGAAACTCTGTCCAAAATAAAAAGAACAAAACAGACAGACAGACAAAACAACGTATTTTAAGCAGGGTTTGGTGTTTCCCTGGACAATCCAGTGGCTTCTGAGGACCCCTCCCCTATTGCCAAGTGTGCAGTAATTACCTTGCTAGCATCTTCTCTGCATTCCCAAAACACGCAGAAGGAGAGCATCACCACCAGCACTTAGTATGGCCTTGGCTGCGTGTGTGCGTGCTGTGCTCTCTTCCACATGCAATATAAGCACTCAGAGACTGCACAGCACACACCTGATCACCACCTGTGCGAACACTTCAAGTGGCTCCCTCACCAGGCATGAGCTGCATTGGTTGTTCGTTTGAGAGAAACTGTGTAGCCCTGGCTGTCCTGAAACTTCCTTTGTAGACTAGGCTGGCTTCAAACTCAGAGATTCGTCTGCCTCTACCTCCCCAGTGATGGGATTAAAGGTGTGCACCACCACAGCCTGACAGGCATGAACTCTTAAGAGCACTGTCGTGCTAAGGGAATGGAGGAACCATGCACTCTGTCTTTCTTAAGTCAGAAACTGAGCTAAGGTTCTGCCTAGCTTCATTGTAACTGCTGCTGCATCCAAATGCAGGCGACATCCAGGAACTCTATGACACCACCTTGGCTCTGGGCCATGCAGCAGCCTTCTCCGATGACTGTGACTTGCCCTCTGCTCAAGACATCAACCGACTTGTGGGGCTTCAGGTGGGCACGCTGGCATAGAACCCTGCCTTTACCCTTCTTCTTTGGCCTTGGCCCTCAAAATTATCACAACCCACCCCTCCAAAGCCAGGGGAACTGCCCGGAGATGGGGATAGTATGGGGTTCTGTTTCTTCCAGCCACTCAGGCCAACTTCTGTAACCCATACGGAGTTCCGCTTTCCTCATCTGAAACCTGGACAGTGTTCTGTCGTGTTTGTGAGCCGCACTGGGATGCTGCGAAGTGTCCGACGTGTGGAGGATGCTCTGCAAACGATAGTGGTTACGTTGCTCATCACCACATACATGTACACTATACATTACTGTATGTTACGCTATGTTATGCTATATGTAACTCCAGCTCCAGAGGACCCAATGCCCTCCTTTTGGCTTCCTTGGGCACCGGGCACACACATGGTGCATATACATACATGCAGGCAAAATACCCATGCATGTAAGATAAAATGAGATCATTTTAGAGGGGAGCAATGCGCAGCACTGTGGGCAGATAGGGGAAGGCTAGAGTGAGTGCTGAGACTAGCTGCTATCAGGGAAGCTGCGACACACAGGGTTTATCAACAGATGTGGATGAGGAAGAGCCGAGGATGCCCTAATGAGCCTGTACTTCTGCTTAAATAACAAGAAAAGAAACAACATCTACTGGGGCAGACATGACAAGGAGCCAGCTTTAAGACGGGACTCAGCACAGTTTGCCAGCGGGGGCTGTTTAAGCATCAAAAAGGCAACACTGAGCAGGCACACGTGCGGTTGAAAGGCTAGAGGCCAGAGCTGTCAGACAGATGGAATTTAGAGCCCTGGCACAGGAGGCCTGCCAGTGGAGTCAGAAAGCAAGCAACAGGTGCCAGGACTAAGAGCAGGGCACTCAACACTCAGAGGCTGAAAAAAGGCAAACCCAGCAATGGAGAGTGGTAAGATGGCCCAGCCAGTAAAGGCACTTGCCCTGGAAGCCTGGCTGGAGCCCATAGGGACCAACTTCCTAAGTTGTTCTTTGACTTCTATACATACATTGTGACATGCATGAGTACTTGTGCGAGCACACACACACACACACACTTTTAAAAACAAGCTGGGCATGACAGCACACCTTTAATCCCAGCACTTGAGAGGGAGAGGCAGATCTCTGTAAATTTGAGGCTAGCCTGGTCTACTCAGTGAGTTCCAGGACAGCCAGAGCTACATAGTGAGAGTCTGTCTCAAACAACAGAACACACCAAGATAGAAGGCTGCCAGTGGGGCAGAAGGAAGCCCAGAGATATTGCACAACAGCTTCGAGAACATAACCATTTTCCAGAAACAGCAGATTCCACCCTGTTCTTTTGTAGAACACATACATGGGCTATCTGGACTACCGGAAGAAGACCATCAAGGACCTTGGCATCAGCCCCAGCACCTGCTCGTTCAATCCTGGTGTGATTGTCGCCAACATGACCGAATGGAAACACCAACGCATCACCAAACAGCTGGAAAAGTGGATGCAAAAGAACGTGGAGTATGTGTTTGGGTTTTTCTGCCACCCTTGTTCCCAGCCGGACACAAATGGTCAGCTAATCTTTACATAGCTCAGGAGTTAAAAAGCAAAAACAAAAACAAAGAACCCAAAACAAACAAACAAAACCCCAGACATCTGAGGTCAGAGTGTCATAAAATCTTTGGACCAAGAAGAGCGGTTGGGTGAAATCATTCCCCAGATGATAGAAATCTGAAGAATTGAGATGTTGTGAGACTGGGATTCGTTTCGTCCCCTTTCATTTTCCTAATATTTGCTCCTTAATAATGTGACTTGATTCTTTTCCACTGAAAAAAAATCTTCATTTATTCTAGCTGAGTTTATTTCATAGGACCACTTTTTAGTGGGGACAGGGTCTCATGATGTAGCCCTAGCCTGCTGGCCTGGAACTGTAGGAACCCAGGCTGGCTCTTGCCTCCGATATGCTTGGATTAAAGGTGTATACCACCACACCCAGCCAGACTTTTGTTTTTGTTTTTTGAGACAGGGTTTCTTGTGTAGCTTTGGCTGTCCTGGACTCACTTCGTAGACCAGGCTGGCCTCGAACTCACAGCTATCCACCTGCCTCTGCCTCCCTGAGTGCTGGGACTAAAGGCACACATCACCATAGACGTACTTTTAAGGCTAATTTCATGAAACCAGCATTTTATTTGAGGTACTTTATTTTATGCTCAGTTTTAATGTGTTTGCACATGTACATATGGGTGTGTGCACGGTATTTGTGTGGAGACCATCAGACAACCAGGGTTTATCCTCCAGAGTACTGTCCAGCTCCTTTTGAGACTCTTGTCGGCCTGGAGCTCAGCAATTAGGCCAGGCAGCTGGCCATCCTCCTGTTCCCACCTTCCAAGTGCAGGAATTACAAGCAGGGAGTTTTTGTGGTTCTGGGTTCAGATGCTTGCAAGGCAGGTACTTTACCAAGGAGTTTTCTCCCAAGTGCTTTCATTCTAAGTGGATTCTAATGGCTCAGCTGTTAAGGGCGCTGGCTCCTCTTCCAATAGGTCCTGAGTTTAATTCCCAGCAACCACATGGTGGCTCACAACCATCTATAGTGAGATCTGGTGCCCTCTGCTGGTGAGCAGGTGTACATGCAGGCAGGACACTATTATATAAGTGACTTAGAAATTCAGTTTTAGTTATCAGATTTTTAAAATAGAGCAACAAAAATTTACTAATACAATTATTACCACATCATTGTATTTCCTATCAGACATTAATATTTTATATTATAGTATTTTAATATATTAAAATTTTTGAATATTTTCCACATTAAAAAAGTATATTTATATTTCTCCCACTTTAAAAAAAAAACTAATTTTATGTGCATGGTATCCTGCTTCCTCCATGCATGCCTGGTACTCTTGGGAGGCCAGACAGGGTGTTGGATCCCTTGAAGTGGAGTCACAAGTAGTTGAGAGTTGCCATCTGGATGCTGGGAATCCTCTGTGGGAGCACCGTTGCTCTAACTGTTGAGTCATCTCTTCAGCCCCTTCATTTGTGTATCTTAATACCACTGTAACATTGAACTTGTTCGTAATTATAATACAGGATCGGAATTTGATTTTCTGTGCCTACCGTAAAAAGCCCTGAGAGTTAGTGACAAGTTAGTGAGAGTGTGGCTCTCTGCCTTGTCATGGGAGGCGACCTAGACTGTGCACTGATTCTACATGGCATGTATGGGAGCACATGGTTTTCTATATTTTGAAGTTTGACAATTTTAAAAATAAAAAAAGAGTTGGGAGGTAGGCATGATGGTGCATGCCTACAATCCCAGCGGACAGGAAGTGAAGGCAGCAGCTTGACTCTGGCTTATCCTCAGCTATAGAGGGACTTCAAGGCCACTCTGACCTACAGGAGACCGCCTCTAGCAACAAAGATCCCTAACTGAAAAAAATAAAAGCTGGGGGAAAGCAGAAAAGCCTTCTAGCTTTTTCTGAGGGGCCACACTAGCGTCTTCTCTGTGGGGGCTCCAGACCAAACGTTGCTTTCTATCCCATCTCCTAGAGAAAACCTCTACAGCAGCTCCCTGGGAGGAGGCGTGGCTACCTCTCCGATGCTGATTGTGTTTCACGGCAAGTATTCCACCATCAACCCTCTGTGGCACATCCGGCACCTGGGTAAGTACTGCCTGGAAGCAACCAGTATGTGTTTTACCCAGGGGGCTTCACTGCTGATACCTACAGCCCAAGGCTTCAGACCTGAGGGGTGAACTTGGCCGTCTCCTGACTTTAACTCTCAGGCTCAGAATCTGCAAATGCAGATGGTATCTTTAGTTGCCGGAGGGGTGCATTCCAGGATTCACGAAAAGCTATGGACTGGGGCTGGAGAGATGGCTCTGCTGCTCAAGAGCACTGGCTGCCTCTTTGAGAGACCACAGGTTCAGTTCCCAGCATCCACATGGCAGTTCACAACTGTCTCTAATTCCAGTTCCAAGGGATCTTCCATACACACACACATAGCAGAGACACCTGGGCAAAAGAGAAAAAGGGAAAAGACAGAGCACTTTATGATCCTGGAGCAGACTCAGAATCACACCCTGTGAATCACCAACTGACGAGAAAGAGGGCACAATCTTTCAGAGGAAAAGAAGCCATTTTTCTGTGTAAGGCTTGGAATCAGGCGAGGAGTAGAGAGTCAGCGTACACAGCAGTGGCCTGAAAAGCGGTCTGATTTTAGGGTTTTGGATGTGGAAAGCAACAGTAAGGCTGAGATGTACTGTTTGGGGCTAAACAGAAAGACTTAACATCTATAAAACAAATGAGTTAAACTGATTTCATCTCCCAAACTCATTCCTCTGAGATCCAGCCATTGTCATGGCGCTGAGGGAAGGAAGATAGCTCACTCTGACCTCTCTTCCCAGATGTGGGCTCCTGCAGTGGAGACTGACTGGAAGCTGGTAGTAGCTACCACTGGCTAACATGATAACTAGCTTCTCTACTGCAGCTGCTGCCGCGCCTGTGCTAACAAGTGACAAAAGCCAGGTTTTGTTACTGGCATGTAGCAGGACAGCATCTTGGCTAATCACTTTTCTTTACTCAATGGAGTTTCCATTATAGAAAGAAACAGTAGAGGATATGAATTTTTTTTACAAATTATATCTGCACGATCTTCTACAAGTCCGGTAGAATATTCCAAGGAATGGTAGCATGAAGATATCTTCACTAGGAGCTGGAGAGATGGCTCAGTGCTTAAGAGCACTGTCTGCTCTCGCGGAGGCCCCAAGTTCAACTTGCAGCATCCACACAGAAGCTCACAACTGTCTGTAACTCCAGTTCCAGTTCTGACACCCTCACACCAATGCACGTATAATTAAATAAATTACCTTAAAAGATATCTTCACTGTATAACCCTTTGGTTTATTTATTATTTTGCACACTGGTACGATTATATCAATGAGGCTTATCTGAGGTGTGAGTCCTCTAAACTTTTAGCGTAAATTTATATCCACGGTTTCATAAAAAATCATATTCACTAACAAGCCTATTGTTTTTCTCTGTGTACACTGAAGGCTGGAACCCTGATGCAAGATATTCAGAACACTTTCTACAGGAAGCTAAACTACTCCACTGGAATGGAAGACATAAGCCCTGGGACTTCCCTAGTGTTCACAATGACTTATGGGAAAGCTGGTTTGTTCCTGACCCTGCAGGGATCTTTAAGCTCAATCACAATACATGATACACTCCAACAGTTAGAATGTTTCCTAGATAAAAAAATGAATTGTCCCTTTGTGTCCTACTCCTAACACTGCTCTTTATGAGCAGCACCTCTGAGGTGTATGCTCTACGATGTAAGGAGCAAAAACTACTGTGGACAAGGTGAACCATGGACCATCTGGGCAGATTTAACTAACTTGTTCAAGTTAAAATGGCCAGTGACCCCCATCCCTTTCTTTCTTAGTGTTTAGTGTTTTGAGACAGGGTCTCACTATGTACCCCAGGCTGGCCTTTACCTGAATGACAATTATATTTGAAAACTTAAAAAAAAAAAAATCTGATTTTTCAGCTAGGCATTTTTGTAGACATTCTTTTGTTAGCTTTGACTCTGTTTAAGATAAGGTCTCCCTGGCTGGAGAGATGGCTAAGTGTTGAAGAGAGTGGCTGCTCTTCCAGAGGACCAGGTATGATTCCCAGCATTATGGGGCAGCTCACTCTCTCCTAGCCTTCAGGAGCACTGGCACACATGTGATGCGTAGACATACTGTAGGCAAAACATCCACACATTTTAAAATAATAAAATTCAATTAGCAGGATGGTGGTAGCACACGCCTTTAATCCCAGCACTCGGGAGGCAGAGATAGGCAGGTCTCTATGAGTTCGAGACCAGCCTGGTCTACAGAGTGAATTCCAGGACAGCTAGGGCTACACACAGAGAAACCCTGTCACAAACAAACAACCACAACAAGACAAAACAACCCAAGAGTAACAACAACAACAACAAAGTTCTTTCTATATACTGCTAGCTTAGAACTCACAAGGCTGGCTTCAAACACATGAAGATCTGCATGCCTTTGCCTCCTGAGTACTGGAATTAAAAGGTCTGTCCCACCATGTCTGGCTGCAGAGTTTTTTATTTTATTTTTTAAACAGGTTGCCGGTTTTGTCTTCTATAAAAATTAAAAACATATAGATATCTGTAAAAAGAAAATATCCAAGTTTTTGTGATTTTCTTCTTGTATGACTCCTACATGTTAACTATAACAGAAAGTAAACTGTCCTCAGGTTTCAAGGGGGAAAGAATACTATTAAATCTTGCTACAGAAATCCCTGTACCTTAAATATAGCCATTCTTAATCTTTATTGTAAAAACTATCAGACTTCCATATGAATTTAAAATCTCAGTATTATTTAATGAAAAAAATCCTGCCCTGTCACGTACAGGAGGCACCAACATTTACCATTCATTTGCCATGTCCAATGAAAAGCACCAGGACTGTACCAGGAAGGCCTCACACCCGCTCTCCAGTGTCATAATTTAAAGATATTTCTCCACACAAGGAAATCTACGGTAAAGCTACAATAGTTATATACCAAAGCAATACTTAACTACATGCTTTACATAGTCCCATGAAAAAAATAATTCGATTGATCCTAATCCCTGATGCAGGGCACTTCACAGCACCTGCATAAATGTCCATGTAAACAGCAGTGCAGTGCACCTTTTAAATAACATGACTTGCACACAGCGTGACCTAGACTTAAGGGAAAATAAAAATCCATCATTGCCACAGCTAAAAGGCATGTGAAAATTCATAGCAAGAAACTGTTTCTCTTATTATTCACAGAAGAACAGGCTACGAAACCTCTGTGGGATATAAAAACCTCTCAGGCATTTCGTACTGCAAAACCAGCACGCTCCTTGGGTATGCATCAAGTCAGAATATTCATGAGTGACCAGGAGAGAATGGGCATTTCTGAATACCCAGTTTTAATATCCACCAGCCCCAATGGGCTGACTATTTGTAGCACCATGGAAAATGCATTAGAAACTACAAAGGTAAAAATTCCAATCAACTTTTCAGGAGGTTCACTAAGTCTACAGTAAAAAACAGTAGTGACAATACTCTTTAAATTACTGACTGATGATTACCTTTACCCAGCAAGAAAAACTCCGTATTATCTTGATACATCCCATGTACACACAACACCAGCTTAAAGAGGACTAACGAACACCAGCAGCATGGTGTTGCTCTCCCTGAAAGTTCAAGTTCATTTCTTATCACTTCCCATGTCAAGAATGAAATCAGAACAGTGATAAACACTAACAGGGAATTCAGTAAAACACATTGGCAAAATGTGCAAGGTCTACTGTGCTCTCAGGAACCTACCCGCACGGCAGCAGGTCCTGCCTCTGAGAGGGTTAGCACACAGGAGTGGGAGGCCAAAGGCAGGACTCAGCCCCATCGGCATGGCCACACTCCGTGTTTCTATCACTAAGCAGCTGCCACACACACCGCTGCAGAGTACAGAGGTCTGATTGTGACTATGACCAGGGACTTCCGAGTTCACCCCCGGCGTCCACTCCACTGAGTGTTAGCTTCACACACGGAAACAGGCACATGTGCCTGTACCAGTTTGCTTCTTACTAGCATGCCCTTCTTAGGCCTTTAGAGGGAGAATGGCATACTATAAAGATTCAGACTGCTGCAGTTTAAAATTACAGATCAAAGTGACTCCCCAAAGAAATCCAGTTTCTTCGTAAATGAAATAGAGGATATAAAAAGCTGGAATGATGGGTAATTCAAATACAAAACTCAAGTACAAAAAAACCACCCTACTTTTTCTTTGCAAACTACACAGGTTCATCAGTTGACGCTACTATACAACTGCTCCATATATAATTACACCACTAAAGCGTAAAGCACTATTAATACTAAAGTCTTCAGTTAGCAAACTGAGGTTCTATGTCCTGACAACTGCATTAAAACTGCAGCGCTGAGGCGGAGCTGAGAAGGCCCCTTCACTAAGCGTGGCTTCCTTGCTCCTGCTCTCGCATTCCACAATTGTTAAAAGAAGGGATCTGGTCTGCAAATGACTGCGTCATCCACTGCCCATTCGGAATGTCCCCAGGAGCCGACTCTCCACTCAGGTCTGCACTGTTGGCTGCTGGGAAGGGAAAAAAATCTCGTTCACTGTCAAGTTCCAATGGATCTGATTAGATTTTAAAAGTGTACTAAGTTTCTACTAGATTTTCAGATCTAGGACTGATAAATCATAATTTGTTACTCAAGGTGGGAAATGAAAGCTTAGAAGCCATGACTTAAGAAAATGATCTCTGAAAATCTTTAGACAATTATATTTTTATATTAGTACTCCTACACCTTCAACAACTACTCTCTATTTCTATTGCATTCCCATCACCACCCCCAACCCTCTGAAGGAAGCAATCTGAGGGAAGCATACTTAGCCCATCTGAAGAAAAGCTGCAAGGCTCACTAGGACATGGGTTTTCACCATAAGCACCACCATACGCTGCTTCGTAGCCTGGATCATACTTTTCTTCCTTAACAGCCATCTTCTTTGCATCCTCTGTGGAGACAGTAAAAGATGACTGAAACTGATGTTGTGTAAATGTTTCCTATGTAAATACCGCTGAGTCATATAATCTGCTATCGTTTTTAAAGATTTGTTATTTTTATTTATGTGGGTGTGAGGTTACATGAATTCATATGCATGCAGGTGCCCAAGGAAGCAGAGGAAATTCCAGTTCAGTGGATCCCCTGAACTGGAATTACAGGTGGCTGTGAACACCTGAAGTGGGTTCTGGGAACCAGACCCCAGTCTTCTGCAAGAGCAAGAAGTGCTCCCACCCACTGAGCCATCTCTCCAGCCCCATCTGCTATCGTTCTTAAACTTCTCTGTAACATATACATTAGCTTTGAAAACTAGAAAAAGCCATCAAACTCAACTTTAGGCAGAGAGATGCTCCTTAGACCCAAAATAAGGGGAAACCACAGTACAAGGAGATAGTACACTAGAATCTATTACCAGGGCATCTTGCTACACCACCATTTTCTTTCCTCCTGCTCTAAGTCTGCTACCTCCTGTCCTGTACACACAGGAAACCAGTAAGGGAGGGGAATGCTAACAAACCTTGGGCAAGCTGTAGGTCAAATGTGTATTGCACCTCCTGAACATCCATGTTGCGTTCAATGCCTTTCAGCTGATCTCTTAAGTCCTTCAGCTTAATGTAGTAATGAACTTTGTCCTGGGCTCGAGGGAACTGAGCACATCTGGCACTGGAAGACGGCATGACGTAGCAGAGCTGTGAGCAACAAGTTTCAGAGACTTGAACATTTGACTGAATCGACTCATGCTGTGGTTAGAAAAACTTATCTTTACTTGGCGTAATAAGATATATATAAATAAAAATCAACGAAAGAAGTTTCATTTAAGATCAAAGCCAATAAATTAAAATATGGGTCCTTCAACTGTTCCTCTATCAATCAAATCTTTTCTTTTTATAGCAAATATATTTCACAATTCAAAAGGAACAAACTATACTTGAGACAGGACTGATGATGAGGCTTTTCCTCCCAGCCCTCTGTCTCGCTGTTCTCTTTGCTGGGCATCACTCACGGGTGCCTGAGGCGCCCGTGAACAGTCAAAGGCATCCAGATGCATCACTGCCCCCCATCTTTTCACTAACCACACAGAGCAGCACGTGTTCCCCATCCTCGGCCCTGCTCCTGTCACTCAACGGTGTTATCTCTGATATGTTCCCAGCATATAGCAAGGCAAAAAAACCTTAAATAGAGTTTTGTGGGCCTTTTACAACTTATTAGAGCCAACTGAAGAATTTAGGTTGCTTTGAATTCTTTTATCATCAACTATAATAAAAAGCCTTGTGCATCCTTATTTTGGAAATGTTCCTAGAAATTGGATAAAATACCAAAAGTAGATGACTAAAGGCAAAGACACTTGCATTTATCATTTTGGCTGGTAACAAACTGTCCTTCAAAGAGCAGACTTTATTTTTTGTTTTCTCTATACACAGCTGAGGCAATGGACTACTATATTTATGATAATTTTTAATTATTTTGCTTTGAGGCTTCCTCATCATATATTATACTATTTTGCTCTGATTATAGCATGTTTAAAAACTATTGATTGATATAGATGTATATGTATGTTAGCATGGTTTATAATAGCACATTTTCAAGATATTCAATTAAAATG